ACACATCTCAGATTGTTCTCAGAGGTAAAGAGGAAGTTGGAAAGTGATGACTAAGAAAAAAAGAATATAAGGAACTTGGACTAGATAATTATTTACAAGTTAAAATATTTACCTGAAGCTTGAAATATAATGTCATCAATGAAAAGGAAAGGATGGGCAACTATCCAGTAAATTAGAAGCTTTTGAAACGTTCAGACGTTCATCTTTTTTTCTCAACATCTGAATAATTACAATCAGCAAGATAAAATTGCCAATTTGCCAGTGACAACTGTTATGAGTCTCTTAAAAATAAGAATTCTAGAATGATCACTTCTACTTTTAAAGATCATTGAAGAAAAAAAGAGTAGTAAGGAAAGTATGCCAAATAAAAGGCTTGGAAACTTTTCCCATTGAATTTGTTTCCACACTCATTCACTCTTTCTATAATAGATCACCCACTTCAGGTAAGATCTATTGATAGTGACTAAGCTAAGAGGAAGTAACAAGTAAGATAATCTGCTCTGAAGCAACACATATGTTACTTAAAATAACACATGAGTTAATGATGTACGATATTTATTTAATTTTTTTCCAACTTCTCTTATGTGAACTTTGCTTTTAGAAAAAAAGGCATTTTGTATTTTTGAGAAATTGGTTGGTAATAAGGTTTCTCCTTGAATATTTATAGCCATAGAAGATATTACATAAAGTATTTGATACCCAAAAAAGGAGAAGTAGAATCAATTTTATTTAGATATTCTTCCTCCCAATGATTATAGTCAGAGTAGTTTATTCGTCCAGGTTTGCTGTAAATTACTGTCACCTGGTACTAGGTTGTCCCCCTACCCCTAACATATTCTCCTCTGCTGGAGTTTGGGAATTGACTTACTTTGATAAGAAGCCCCTTTCCATGTATTTGGCTCGTGCTTTCATAGCCAGGGATCAAAATACTCCACTTGTTTTCATGTTATGTTCTGTGATTCATACCTGTCCACAACTCTTTCACAAGGATAAGGTAGTAAACAAAAAGTGATTATCAGAGGAAGAAATTAAAAATGGATAGGCAACTATATCATTCATTTATGCATTCATTCAGCTTATTATATCCTTATTATGTGTTTAGAACTGTTACTATCCAGACTATAATAAATATGACCCTTACTTTCATGGTGCTTATAGTCTGGTACAGGGGATAAGATATGCACACAAATAACTAAGATAAAGTTGGAAAATAAGGGCCATAAGAGAGTTACAAATATGGGCGTCCAGCAGAGAAATAAATTGCCTCGCTATGTTACTAATCTTCCAGTGAGTAGGACAGGACTAAAATCTCTTGGCAGACAAGTGTAAAGAACACTCATCCCCCACCATCACCTCCAGGGGCATTCCACCTAACAACCAGACGATTTTAACCTACCATTGGACATCTCTATTTAAATATCTTATTAAGACTTCGAACTCACCATGTCCAAAATCAAGTTCATCACTTTCTCCCGAAACCATCTCCTCCTATCTTTCCATACGTCTGGTCCCAATCCATTTCCCTACTTCTGTTATTCAAATAACACGCTACACCTCAGTCACTATCTCTCTCATAGCCAGTCAATAATACGGCGTCACAAACTTCCTACTTCTTTAAAGCTCTTCCCTAGACCCTTCTTTTCATTTTATTGACAGACTTTCAGACTTGGAATAACACTTGAACCATTTTCTTTAGCTTTTCTCTCTCCTGACTGCAATAGTCTAATGTATACCCTGTTGACAGATTAATCTTCTCAGTTTATGGTCCCAATCAGATAATTCCCATGCTCAAACACATTTAGAGAATCCAATGTAATTAACTACATGAGTCAATATTACTCATCCTGGTATTCAACATATCCTGAGGCTATATTTCCAACACTTAAACTCTGTCCAATCTGTGACCTCCTTACATACTGATGTTTTAAAGTTCCTATTCAAGAAATTCCATCCATCCAACCTGTTTCTCAAGTTTCAAAGTTTATCATAATTTCCACTTTTATATGAAGGCTTTTCTGATGTTCCTACACCCAAAACTAAGCTAGTTGTGAATTCTCCACAGCATTCTTTATTTACCACTTAAGACTTACGATAGAGTCAAACTTGTAATTATTTGGCGCTCCTCTTTCCCCACCACTTCTAGGACAAGGGCTGAGTCACAGTGATCGCTATAAACCTACAGCGTCTAGCATAGTGTTTGTCTTAGAGGGTGTTCAATCCATTTTTTTTTTCCATGACACTGAATGTTCAATCCCTAACAAATGAATTTCAACAAGCAATTAAATTCTTCTTCAGACACCAATAAAGTGACGTGTGTTCCTGCTTGCAGATGGCTAAAACATTTTAATCTTTCCTAAATTAATGTAAAGTTCAAAAAGCAAATGGTACTTGAAAAGTAAATTGCTTCCAGGGCCTCTTTTTTCTTGGAATCCTTCTTCATTTAACTTTTCTCAGTCCTGACAGTCTAAAGCTCATCAGTCTAGACTTAAAAGCCAAAGGAGCTTAAAAGCCACGCAGGGGTCTGTTCAGTTTTAAATACAATTTAGAAAACCTTGGGAAAGAATGACAGTTCCTTTTCAAGAACCTCCCATACATATTTCAATAGAACGGCTTTCCAAATTGGAAACTGTAAAATATTGTACCGCTCACCAAGTAATAAAGTCACTCACTGCCATGCAGAAAGATTTCCTTGGTTTTCACGAAGAGCACAAAAAACTATATTGTATTTATTTAAATCTGAAACTGACAAAAAAGACAGAAAGAAAAAGAAAAGTAGTCAATTTCTCTAAAAGATCATTATTTAGGAATAAATTACTATGCAAAAAAGCATGGATCTTCTTGACAACTTGTGAATTTAAGGCAGATGAAATGCCTCCTTCTGTACTCCTATAATCAACTCTGCTGATGAAATATGTTAAGCATTCTAAGCTTGGGGAACATATAAAGCTTTGAAATCAATGTGTTTCCGGTACAGGGGGTTAGGAAAAGAACTTAATAAATCAGCTTAGGAAACGCTTCATTTCCTGAACCGTATCTGGGAAGGAAAACATAAAACAGGCAGAACCAGGTGCAAAAAAAATCATACACGTGGATGGGAAAATCTCTTCCAGTTCCTTGTAGGCCTCACTCCGATGGTCAATTTATGCTCCTGAACCAGCACTTCTTCTTCTAGGATAAATGGGGTAGATTTTACAGACACTTGCCTTAAAATTAACAAAGGCTCCCTGGCAGAGGTTGAAAGAGATAGTCATTATGTAACCGCTGTCTCTGCTCAAATAAGAAATTATCTTACTATTGACATATATACACTAATATGTATAAAATGGGTAACTAATAAGAACCTGCTGTATAAAAATATAAACAAAATTAAATTAAAAAAAAGAAATTATCTTACTTTGGTTAATAGTTCATTAGAAAGAAAACACTATTAATAGAGAGGTTGGGCTCATTACCAATGAGCTAAAGGACGCTGGTTTTATTCCTACAATGATCATAATAGAAAAATCTTCCAGGTCATCTCTGGGTTATCCTTCACCTTTCCAGCTTCCTTACGGTCAGGTTTTGTAGGCTACTTCTATTGATTCTATTCCACTTTGCTTTCTGAAGTACATGTAATCCATTCCTATCTATCTCTCCCATGCAAACTGAAGAGTTACTTATAAGCTAGTGCATTGATTTCTGTGTCATCTCATAAATATTCTTTATTAAAAAAAAATCAGAACTTTGTAACTCATCTAAGTGAAATTTTCTGGTCTTATACCCACTTCAGCTTAACCCTGGAAAGTCCCAGATGGATTGTAATCAATCGTATGTGATTTTGCAGTGTTTGGGCATTTGTACTAAATTTATATAACATATTTTGAGAAATTAATGATAAATATTGTTCAAGAAGGAGTGTGTTTATTTTTTCCTACCTAATCACTGCAAATGGAATTTTGTAAGCAGTGAAGTTTGAAAAGAGCACATGCACAATAAAATTAGAATTGAGGTTTTTCCAGGGCTCCTCAGAGCCAGAATCAATGTGTCCCAACCGTGTTCTTTTATGATAGTTTGTACTTTAGTTTTCGCACCTATTAAATCTGTCTTATGTTAGATTTACATGCTTATTTCTCCCAATAGTGCATTTGCCACTGTGGGCAAGGACAATGTCTTAACTCATTTTTGTATTCCTTGCACTGCTGAATACATGGTGAGAGCCTAATAAATATTGATTAAATCTAATTGCTTACAGTAAATCCCTCCGGAAGGGTTAAAAGTCAAATGTAATAATTTCTTGCAACTGGTCATTAATATAGTCAGGGCTTATGTAGGTGCATATATATCCTTTATCTAAGTTTCAGAACCTGCAGTCAATGGGTAGGGTTTTTATGTCTATAAATTCCCTGAAATGTTATGCAAAATATTGTACGTATGTGTGTAGATCTGTGTTAATTTCTAGAGCAAGCATCCATAAACTTTAATCAAGTGACTCTCCTCCATTCTCACCCTCACCCTCAAGATATTAAGATTCACTTGCCCAGGCAGTTTTATCCAACCTCTCAATTTATCAGAGCCAAAAGATAGTTGGGACAAATATAGGCCAGCGTCTGCAGAGCAATGTTTCTGATTACAGCCTTTCACCGGTACATGACAATCTTGTTATTTCTAGACTTACGTCTGAAAAGAGCACATTTTTGAGAAATAGTCCATTTTTAGCCAGCATTTGATCCCCAGATTGTTACTCTCTGAAAAGGCTATTGTATATTCCCGGTACCTTTACGATGCCATGGAACACACTTCAAGGCCGCTGCAGCAGCAAACACTTTCCTTCCGTGAAAACAAACATCCTCTCTGCGGAGCCTTCTCCACGCATCCCCCCGTCCACGCACACACACTCAACTCAGCAAACGCACTGCTGCGTCTACTTCTCAGGGGAGGCTCCCTGAAGGTAAACTGAGGCTCAGAGCCGCCCACTAGTGATTTCTGATCCACACCGTCAGAACAATAAGAGAAAAGGGTACCTGCGTCGTCCAAACTGCTACAAAGACTGGACAGAAGAAGACAAAGTATGGTCCCTTGAAGCAGTTTCATGGTGCCTGTGGCTCGTCACAGTGGCTCTTCTCTCCAGGGTCAGGCAGGGACAACTCCCTCCCAGCCTGGCAGGGCCTTCTCAGCAAATGGAAAAGGTGTGCTGGACTTGAACAGCCACTGCCCATGCCTACTTATTTCGGGGGCTCTGATAAAGAACAGGAGGAAATGCACACACTCCCTTTGGGAGTTCAGCAGAGAGGAGATTTATTGTTTCAGTCCCTTACAGGAACTTTTTTTTTTCTCTTCCTTTGGCAGCCACTTGTGTTTTTGTTACTACATTATTTTGTTCTTCTTCAACAAAAAGGTCAGGACGGGTTTTGAACAGAAAGAGATCTTTCTTGAGAATGGATCTTACAGGCTTTCTAACTTTTGTTTTGAAAGCATGTTTTGGAGTGTTTATAAAGGGGCCTTATTAAACAACGACTTGGTTTGGATAAAGAGGCTTTAATTGCCTGAGGGTTAAATTTGAGAGCAGAATCCACAAAGAATCAACTTTTCTTCTCTCTTTCCAACTTGAAAGCCAGATCAGTAAAGACCACCTTCTGGAGATAAGTGCAAAACTTTATTAAGTAGATCATGCTCTGACTTGAGTAAGTGAAAAGACTTCTTATCTGATGGCCAGGGAGGTTTTTCAGGATATTTCTAATAGAATTAAGTAAAGACCCGTGAGTGCTCACGGCTCATTCCTGGTCTTATTGTTGGAATTCGTTGAAGGAAAAGGAAAAAATACTTATAATACCCTGTGGATACTCTTCTCTAGGAAATGTGATGGGAATGGCACTGGGATGGAATGCCCTTGTAACAAGTCAATGAAGTAGGGAGAGATGGAGTCTTTGGACCAGAATGTCAATCAGGCAAGATACTCTGTGTATTAAGGATCTCTTTGATGTTAATAGCAATTGATTAAAACATGGTGCTAACGCAGGCTCAGCCCTGACTAAAATCCCTGTGTGTATGCGCCAAGTAATTCTACACTTCTCCCCAGCCACAGGCTACACGTCTAAACTCAGCCAATCGTCCTTTATATACCTTTAGGCATGAAGCCCCTGGACAAAAGAGTGTCAGTGGGTCAATATTAATTCATCTGTTCCGCCAAGAAAACTATTCCAAAAGTACACCTTTATCTGTTTATAAGGAGGACATACATTTCACTGCTGCGCGGTGCAGGGAAGGACTTATTCCGAGAGTGGATAGAGCAAGTTGATTGATCAAAACACCCCCAAAACTAGGTTGTTTTATCCTAAGTTATACCAAGTCTCAGAAGAGCCTCTAAGTGTCTATTTTGTGTATAAAACCTAATTTTACCCTCTCTTCTAAGTAATTTTCTAAAACAGACTGCCTTTGGAGCTGTTACTTTATTTGTCATATCCTGGAGAGTATAAAGATAGCAATGTATGTGAATAGATGTCACATGCACTTTCCAGAAATAAATTGGGGTGTGGCCATGAACTCACAGTGGAGCCACTCACATTACCTCACTTCCTGCTCCTTCCTCTGCTTTAACTAGGGAGTTTTCAGCACACATGGTCAGTCCTGATGTTGGTCACAATCATTGTTGCAGGAATTCAATAGCATTTTGATTTCTTTGATTCTGATGCCTGACTGCTAGGCATTTCCGTGAAAAACATTAGATGCCTATTCCAAGAATGCTTGATAATAGAATATTATGTCTATTTAAAAGATAAGACCTGTAGATGAAGAAAATAAAAACAAAATCTGAGAAATGCATTTTTAAATGGTTAGGCAAAAAAAAAAAAAAGGAAAAATAGGAGTAGTACAGTAGGTCAGCTTTATCTTAATAGATCAGGGGTATCTTTAAGCTAAAAGAATTCATTGAAACAGTGGCGACTGCAAGAAGAGACAGATCAATGGTATAAAATAGAAAGTACAGACACAGAAATATATATAGCTATCTACATATATACATAGGTATATTTGCCCATATGTGTGTGTGGCGAGCTTAGATATAGATGAATTTAATATACAGCAAATGTGATGAGTAGAATGTATTATTTAATAGGTGATTTTTGACAGGTTTTTAACCATCTTAAAAAAAATTAAAGTTAGGTATCTACTTCAAATACCAAAATAAATTTCTTATACGTTAAAGATTTAAACATAAAAAACAACATTATAACATTCTAAAAGATAACATGGGTGACTATTTGCATATAACTGGGGTAGAGAGGACATTTTATGCATAACTCCAAAAGCAGAATACATAAAAGAAAGACTTGATCTTTTTTCTTACATAGGAATTAAAAGATTTTTGGCTCAACACACAAGATGAAAAGGCAAATGTAAAAGTTCATGAAAAAATAATACGTAATACAGATTTGATATCCTTCATATGAAAAGACCTTTTGCTAATCAATAATAAAACAATGACTTTGCACCTGAAAATAACAACATCATAGAAGAAACAGAAGGCCAACAAAATGGAAAAGTATTATTTATCTCAGTAGAAATTAAACACATGGATATTCAAGAACTGAGATAACAGATTTTTTTTTTGCCTTTCCAATATAATTAGGTATATTTTCTGACAATACCCAGTTTTAATTAATGTTCAAGGAAAGTTACTGTCTTATTCTTGGGGTATGACCTTTCAGGGGGATGTGACCTGACAATATACATCAAGGTTATTGATACACTAAAACAATATACATCTATGTTAAAGAACCATACTCTTTGAACTTGCAATGATATGTTTAGGAACTTATTCTAAAAAGGAAGATGCTCATTAAAGTTTATGTTATTATAAACACTTGTCAAGGACATTAATTATTGGGGAATAAGATGGAATATTCTGCCACAAAATAGTATTAAAAAATTTTTTATGGATGTGGAAACACCTTCATGATATTTTATTGCATGTATCTATGCATTTGTATGTACATATGCATATATACATATGTGTGAATATACACATGTATTTAAAATAGAAAATGTTAACAGTGCTTATATTCTGGCAGCGAATTGTGGATGGTTTTTATCTTGTATTTTTTTATTTTTCTTAAAAAGATTTTCAGAGTAAAACGTATTATCTCTATCATAAAACAAAACAAAACAAAACTTATGTTTGACCTGATACTTTTTGTTTAATTTAATATTTTGAGGGAATATTTATACAAACATTTTTTATTCTAACCTACTTGAATGTTTTCATTATTTGGAAGTGTGTGATTTAAGAGCACTTTATTAAAAGAAAACCTGTGAAGAGAACTAAACCACTCTAATCTGAGAAATGAAAAGAGGTTTTTGCTTTTGTTTTTTTCACAATTCGTCCTCTGTATTCTTGTTGAATCTGAGAGATAAGCTGTTGTGAGGTCATGCAAGAGCAATCTCAGAATTCTTTCCCAGCACATCTCAAGGTTTGCAATTGACATCTTTGACACTGAAGAAATTGTGTAGTGAAGACTCCAACACTGATGGGCATACTTTAACTTGTGTGGTGCTGAGAAGATTATTCAGCCGGCACCATTACTGAGCCCCAAATTAAACTTCCTTTCCATCCTTGCCTCCTTCCTCTCTCCTAGCGCGTCACTGAATAAAATCACCTAAAATGGTAGGAAGGCCAAAAGGTGATCATGGGGCTTCCCTGGTGGCGCAGTGGTTGAGAGTCCGCCTGCCGATGCAGGGGACACGTGTTCGTGCCCCGGTCCGGGACGATTCCACATGCCGCGCGCGGGCCACTGAGCCTGCGCGTCCGAAGCCTGTGCTCTGCCACGGGAGAGGCCACAACAGTGAGAGGCCCGCGTACCGCAAAAAAAAAAAAAAAAGGGATCATGAACTAGCAAAGAGCATGAGCTCTGTGTTCAATCCTGGCTCCTTCTTTTGGTCCTTCATGGCTCAACTGAATTACCTGGCCTCTTTATGCCTTGGTCTCCCCATGAAAAAAAGGAGATAATCACCATGGAAACTTCAAATGTGTTTAGAGAATTAAGTGAGATTCCAGAAAGTCTTCTAAAATTGTATATTAAAACAGACAAACCTTAACCTTGTAGTTTAGGCTAAAATAGATTGTCTTCGTTCCATGGTATGCTTTCAGGTTGTTCAGATTTTAAATAAACCATATTATTCCAAAGTGACTGACCAGTTTCCTAAGAAGTATTCCGATGATGAGAGTCCCAAAATATTGTTGACAGCAGATTAAACAGACTCCCAAATCTTATTTTTAGGAATTTATTCCATGTTCCACTTTTAAGTTTCTTTAAATATCAGGTCCTTTCTTCAGTGGAGATAGAACCTAACAGATTCCTTTTGTTACTTGTCTATCTGAAATGGCAATTGGGGAATCTCCTGAAGGTATTAGGAACAGAGCTGAAGACAAACAGGCTCATGGTCCTAGAGATATTAAGTCCCCCTCCTGCAAAGCCAAAATGGATACGAGGATCAATAGTGGGCGGGCCCAGTCATTTGGCCAAACTTATGTCAGTAAAATATCTTCCTCACTTACTAATAATCAACTCCCAGTGGCCAAGGGCCAGTGCTATTTCATTATTGCTCAAGTTAAAAGAAGACACGGTAAGCTGATTTTTGAAGTTTCCGAAGAGCTTGTCTTTTACATTCTGCAATGGTCCATTATAATTTTACACCTCAACGTATAAAGACAAGGCTCTCACCTCACACTAACTCCCTAACCTTATAGGGTTCAGTCTCTAAGTCTCGATATATAAGGGCATAAATATGGGAAAATTGTAAAAGCACAGTCGCTCGTGGATAAGATATTCAAAAAAGTTACTTTAGTACAAAATTCTTAGTAGCATCATCATTTGTCAGGAATCCCCTGACAAATGGTGAACGAGCTTGCATGTCAAACGTAGAAATGACTGGGGCTCATTACTCTGTAAGGCAGTTCTCCTGTTGGGCTATGCTTCTTGTTAAAAAGTTCAATCACCATGTCTCATCCTTATCTGCCTTAAGAAGCTTTGGAAATCATTGTCATAAATTGGTTTTTTTGTGTACAAAACTGAGCTTAAGGGTTTTTTCCATTAATCCTATTAATAAGGAAATGAGATTTTTACAAGCACTTTTGGGGAATAAGATAGAATATAATTCATTTAATTATATCTAATGAAGCACAGGTATGA